GCCCACCACCATCTGGAACTGTGCCCAAGGGGCCGACAGAGGACCAAGCCTCTCCGTGACCTTGAAATGCTCCAATTTTATAGAACACAATAACCGCACTGTTTGGCAAAAAATGTAATTAACCATCATTAGCCATTTGTTTAACTCTCTCATCCAAAGAATGACAGCATTTTATATGTTTTATACAAAATGCACACATGGATTGTTAGTGCTAGGTTTCCTTAATTATTATGATGAACTACTATCCGCAACAATAGATTCAGATTCAAGTTTAAATGTTAAAAGTCTTACCGATGAATCTGTCCATTTCTGTGCAGGTAGTCCAGGCCCTCAAGGACTTCTTTTAATATAGTAGCAATAATAGGCTCATCTAGCGCTCGATTTCTGTCCTCTTCTTTGTTTGTGTGCTTAATTATATCCAGCATAGAGCCTTAAACCATAGAAAAATAAAAACATTATGTTAATTTTCCACGTATAAATGAAAAACACAAATCAGCTGCAGTGTTACCCTGAGTCATTACGTGCTCAATATCCAGGCGCAAAGTACATGCGTCTCTGCTAATTGCTTGTTGTCCTTTAAAGAGAAAAGCGTTATAGGCAGTACATTAGGGTGAGTAACATCACTGCTTTAACTCCTTCACAAGTGAGAGCTGTAAGCTGTTTACAAAAGCAAGCAGCCAAGAGTCTGATACTGCCTCCTGATAACTGTAATGAAGCCAGAATATAACACTGAGCTGGAAGAATACTTTATGAGGATTTAAATCCGATGTTTTTGAGGATACATAATGGAAACAGTTGTTGAAATGCTGATTAGATTGTTGTTTAATTTCTTTTACGCATCACTTGTGAAGAAAAAGCAAACATGTTACTTCTAATGTCTTATTTATTGCCAGTTGTAACTTTTAGAGGCTATATATATATAGAGAGAGATTATAGATATATGACAATTAAAATAGTCAAAAGACAATTAGTATACTCGGAATGACTACACAATACATCTACAGAATAAATTAGATTTAACAAAGGCAGCTGTTCAAAGCAGATCAAAGCATAGACATGTTGCGTCGTCACATTCACTGCGCTTTCATTGTAAAGACATTGATAGGATCTGGTTACAGTTTACCTCCACTCAGAAGCTTCATGACTAACCAAAGTTCATCCTTCACCACAAAGGAGGTGTAGTAGGTGACAACATTGGGATGGTAACACTGGCTCATAGCTTGGATTTCTTTCTATTATGAGTGAAAAACAACAGGAGTTATAATGTGTCAGGGCACGTTCAACTGGAAAGATAAGTATAGAAATTGTTACTCAGACAGATGCCCTATTCACACGGGACTAGGATTACTATTCGCTAAAGTCATCTGTGATCTTAATCCCTTGCTAATGATCAGTCCCCATTACTTATAAAGTAGAAATTACAGCAACAAGATGGCCAAACATCGGGGTCACCTGAATCGGCATCTCTTTGTGTTTTGTTTCGCAATCATTTTTTAGTTTACTCTGGGTTTATTTTCTGCCTTTTCCCAGGTCCACCATTATGAGGGCTGTGTAGGCAATTATACATAAAAAAATAGGAATGCATTTTGTTGGCTCAGTCAGGAGGCTCAGCTCCAAGAATGGCATGAAGATCCATTAGCACAGCCAATAGAACAAGATGTATTTATATTAACATAAATGCGCCTATATAAATGTATTGTATTAACTAATACGTATATTAGATATAAATGTTATACATTATAATATTTAAATTCAAGCTAATATTATGCAGTCGACATCATATATGTGGTGTCGATGTCAGAAAATTGGAGGACAATTCCGACTTTTTTGTCCAGTGTGAATGTGGCGTACAATACAGACATGGGTATTACCTCTTGCAATACTAGTCCTGTATAAATAGGGCTTTACACACAACAATAATAAGAGGAAAATAAGTAAAAGTAAGATATTAGAGAGTGATACAAAGACATTAAAAAAATAAGCCTGTATTTCATGTACTCACTAATAGCTCATCCATGCTGGTCTGGCATTTTTCCAGGTTTATTCTCTTTATGGCGACGCGCTCCTGTCTGGGGGTGCAGAGGGCCGCCTGCACCACAGCTGTGGCCCCGCTGCCTGAAATCACAGACACAACATAGCAATGACAAAGTGGACAGGAGCACAGAGGGACTCGCTGCAAAGGCAGCTGGAACACAACTCTTAAATTAAACAATAACATACGCTGACTTATATACACTTTTTATTTCAATGTGACGAGTTGTTTGCTGTGTTCATTGAAAATCAGGTCATGTGACGTTCACACCAAGAAGCGGGGACACACAGCGTATTGCTTTTCAACTGGAGTGACAGATAAGGAGAACGAGCACACACAGGAGATCTGGGTGCTTACCAGCTGATTATGAGTGGGGAGAGTGGGGTCTCCCTAGCTCATCTGCTCGCAGACCACAGCTGGGGTGCTACTTCTTATCAGCAGTGATATGACTTGTCAGCTCACTGCCAAAAATATTCAGGCAACTTCCTTTTTAAATAGGGGATATATATTGTTGTTTCTAGTTAGTTAACAATATTTCTTAAAGTAAATGATCATGACATCACTGGAATTGAGCGTTCTGTGACTTGTGCTGGCATATCACTTTTTCAAACTTTGAAAAACATGTAATTAAAATGAAAATTATACAGCACATATAACATGTTCATAAATCTACAACAGGCATATCAAGAGTCTTCTAAGTATAGTGACATAAAACACATTATAACAAAATACATAACACTTTTGAAGTATATTTTTATATTGGTTTATGAATGTAAACAAGGCTTAACAAGTGATTATGTAAGTGTACAAAGTTAAGTGCCTTTGACCTATAGCTAGTTGCAAGCTACAATATGTGCTTACAATTGTAGTGAATTAATTGATTACAAAGCTCTAATGTAAGGAAGCTGCTTTCCTCCGTTTATACAATCGTATGTATCATTGAGTTTTACTCAATGATAGTATAAGTATCATTGAGTTTTACTCAATGATACATTACTTTTGCACATTTAAAGACATCGATCTCTGGGTATTGAAAAATTTAATTTTTTTAATTCAATTCAAGCCATACAGACAAATTAGCTTTTGTTCGTTAATGTTAACAATTTGAATTTCAGCTACTTTAACAACTATGATCATATTACCCTACCCCATTAGCTGTAATGTTAGTATGAAGTACATGTTGCATTTGAAACATCGCCAATTTGAGATGATTTGATAGACTGTTACATTATGTTTACGTGCCATCACAGATAGCACATGTGGAATAAGGGAATAACACAGTGACAGCTACAGCATCTGTGATTTAGTAATGGCTAATAAACTGGACACGTGAGTAGGTCACTATAATCCAAGTCGCATTTACGGAGAGTATCATTTCCAATCACATGCAGCTGATGCAGACCGGTAGTTTCTAAAAGTGCCTGTTAACATCCGCATTGCAAAGCATTGCAGGAGGCTACTGCTTATAAAAAGAAGCCGGTAGGCCCCTCATCGTCATTCCCAGCTGATAACTCGTGTCTCTCCGTGATAAAACACAGCGTACATCACATCTCCCGGTACTAACCTATGACTTCCTGCAGCTCGTACGACTCTCTGGTAATTGGCCAGCTGGTTGTCAGCGCGGGCTGCGGCTGGAGGACCGGAGCCGGAGACTCGCCTTGATCCGCCATGATGATGATGATTCTGCGCTAGTTAGCAGCCTCTCTCACAGACAGACCAAGGCACACA